GTTTTTAGTATTTTTTTGCTTTTGAGTCAGGATATCACTGTGTAGTTCAGGTTGAAGTTGAACTCACTATGCAACCCGTAGTGAGTTTAGGCTGGACTTTAAATGCACAGTGATTTTTACGCCTCAGCCTCTCAAGTGCTGGCATTACAGGTGTGTGCCTCCATGCCCAGCTTGAGGTATCTTTCTTCTCTGGATTCTTGCTTTAAATTGATGTTGGTGTTGCATGTTTTTTTTTTTTTTTTTTTTTGAGGTGTTAGAGATTGATCAAATCCAAGGCTTTGTGCACACATAACTGGTGCCTTGCCACTGACCTATGCCCCCATAGGATATTGTTTTTGTTTGTTTGTTTGAGTTCAGGCTGATCCAGAACTCACTAAGTAGCCCAGAATGGTCTCAAATTCCTAGCCATCCTCCTGCCTGGGTCTCCTAAGACCTTGGATCACAGATGTGCACCAACACATAGCCTCTTGGACACTTTTTTCCCCCCAAAGTCTATTTGAAAAAAGTGTAGAGCTAGAGACATTTCAGCACTTGGGAGGCTGAAACAGGAGGTACACCACAAGTTTGTGGCCAGCCTGGGCTATGTAGTGTTCAAGTTTAGCCTGATCTATGTAATGAGACCCTGTTTTGGAGAAAAAGACACAGAGGGCGGGGGGAGGGGAGAGGAAAGGGGAGGGGGAGGGGAGAGAAAGAGACTGGCTCTGTAGAGTGAGCTTAGGCCAAGTAAAGAGGAAAAAGCAAGATAAAAGAACACTGTGGAGAAAGCAGGATGGGCTATTGTTAGGAAAGCCACCATAGCCTCATTGATACTGTTTCAAAGGTAGATCTCAAGGCATAAGTGTTTAGTTTGTTCACTTCATGGACACTCTCTTAGTAATTTAAAAGTCTGCTGGGCAGATGTGGTGGTATGTACCTGTAATCCCAGGACTCAGGTGGCTCAGAAAAAAGGTTTTCTGCAAGTTTGAGGCCAGCCTAGGATACATAGTGAGTTCAACTTCAGCCTGAACTACATAGTGAAGCCCTATCTCAAAAAACAAAAAATCTGCCAGGTGGATATGGTGACATATGCCTGTAATTCCAGCACTCAGGGCTGAGACAGGAGGATCAGAGAGTTTGAGGCCAGCGTGGCCTACATGGTGAGACCCTGTCCTCAAAAAGCAATCCACTGAGCACCTAGTACAGGCATGGTGTAGCAGTGGTGGATCCAGCCCAGAACAAGGTCAAAGGGGCCCCAACTCGAGTCTTGTGGACACAAGCCGAATGGAAATCTTCCAGCTGGAGTGCACAACCACTCATGCAGGAAAAGGAACACAGTAAAATAAGGAGGGGAAGAGGGGTTGAAGGGAAGGGAGGGGAATGAAAAGAAAAAAAGAAGCAAAATCATGTAGAGGTACAAATTCCCTATGATGAATGTTATCACTATGTATATCTAACATGTACCAATACAATAAATTAATTTTAAAAAGAGAAAAGGAATCACACAGCTGGGCAAAAGCTGTTGCTGCATGCAGTGGACCCTGGAAGGACAGGAGTGCCCACACTGGACTAAGCACTACCGTGATACCCTTGCCAACATCTCTGTCTCACCCATGAGGAAACTGAGGCACAGTGAGGCTCCCCAGGACCTCCCAGCTAGGAGGCTGGGAAACCAGCAATTCCTACCAGCACTGTGGATGGCAGAAATTGCCCGTGCGAGTGCTGTAACTAGGGAGTTTATATGCCAGCCAGATGCCAGGCATTACCAGGGCTGCGTGTAAGTTCTGTCCTTTCATTGTGCTAAAAACTCTACCACAGCCGGGATTTAGTTCAGCCTGCCTGGCAAGTGCAAGGTTGTGAGTTCGATCCCTGGTACAAAAAACAAAACAAAACACTACCATAGAGGATGCTTAGTTGCAATTTCAAAGTGCAGAAATGAGCCGGGTACAGTGGTGTCTGTAATCCCCAGCACTATGGGAGGCTGAAGCAGAAGCTAGCAAGTTTGAGCCCAGCCTAGCTAATTTAGCAATTTAAAGAGACTCTGTCTCTCTTGATTTTTTTTGTCTTCTCTTCTCTTCTCTTCTCTTCTCTTCTCTCCTCTCCTCTCCTCTCTTCTCTTCTCTTCCTTTCTTTTTCTTTTCTTTTGAGACAATGTCTTGCTGTGTAGCCCAGGCTGACTACGAACTCACAGTGACTCTCCTGCCTCAGCCTCTTTAGTGCTGGGATTACAGGGATGTACCACCACACCCAGATCCTTTTAATTGTTTGAGACAAGGTCTCACCATGTAATTCAAACTGGCCTTGAATTCTCTGTGTAGCCCAGGTTGGCCTTCAACTCGCAGTGATTCTCCTGAGTGCTGGGATCGCAAGTGAGTACCACCATGGCCAGCCATTCCCATGCTTTTCTAAAGAAATTACTTGAGACAGGTTCTCACTAAGCTGCCTAGGTTGTAGCTGAATTGAGATCCTCCTGCCTTGCCTCTCAGAGTGCTAGGATTGTAGGCCTGCATCACCACTCCCAGATGGCTCACAATTCTCAAGGTCAGAAATTCAAAATTGAGTGAACCAGGCAGGGGTTCCCCCTGGAGACTCCGAGGGGAGTCTGCCACAGCCTGTCCAGCTGGCAGGAGTCCCCAGATCTTTACCTGTACACCCGGCTTCACTCCTGTCCCTGCCTCCTCCTAGTCTCATGATCTCCCTTCCCATCGGCAGGTCTCTGAATCTGAACTTCCCGCCTCTTACCAGGACAGGAGTGACTGGATCAGGGGCCACCCTAACCCAATATGACCTCCTTTGAACTTAATTACATCTGCAAAGACCCCAGGCCCCGGGACCTGGACACATCGTGGGGTAAAATTCAGCACAAGATGGGCCATGAAGTGGCAGCTGGGTGGGGGAGGAGTCTCGGAAGGCTGTAACAATATACTATAGAAAAAGAAGATCTAACAAGGTCATTGATGGAAGGCATCTAAGACTGAGCCTCCTTACAGAGGACACTGTCACCTCTAGAGTTCACATTGTACATGGACCCAGTGGTTTCCTAAGAGTGTGTCCATCACTGCAGTCTCTGGGGAAAAACGTCCTTGGGTTTCCTTACTCCTGCTTGGCAAGGCTGCCTAGAAAGGCTCAAGTTGGCCCACCATGCTTTGGGAGTTCCTGGGAGACCTGTCTCCCTCCAGTAAAACAAATTAGTTTTCAGCTTTTCTATTCCTCCCTCCCTGTCAACATCCACTGTCTTCTCTGGCCCACCTAGATTTCTAGTGATCCAGCTGAGCACTGAGACTCCAGGTGACTTCCCAGTGGTGACTGTGTGGCCGCTGTTGCGGAAGTCATGGCCAGGAGGGGGAACAGTCTTGGGAGGGAAGAGACAAGGGAGCTGGGGCAGAACTTGTTGGGTTCCACTGCCCTAAAACCTTGGTTCGCCAGAGAAGCCCAGGCAAATCCAAGCAGGGATCTTTAACTAGTTTAGTTACAGCATGTTGGAGTCCATGCTGGGGCGAGGGGTCTTGAGTAATTTGATAAAGCTATGAACCCCATCTCAGAAGAATATATAAATGTTCACCAAAATTTTGAGATAATTTTCAAAGCTTCATTGATTGCTTGAAGTTAATCATGAAGCCCCAGTTTAGAGCCCTGAACCCACAATTTTCCCCAAAACTCTTCTTCTGAGGAAAATTCATATGAACAAGGGTAACCCATCTGCTCCCACCTGGGCAATTATTTAGAGGGGAGTGTAAAATGGAGGTGCAAATTCTAGTGCTCTCCTAACTTTCTTAGAGAGTTTGTTTCCATTAAGCACATATGAGCCATGTGGTGGTGCATGCACACCTGTAATCCCAGAGCCAGGGAGGCTGAGGCAGGAGGATTGCTGCAAGTTTGAGGCCAGCCTGGGCTACATAGTGAGACCAAGGTCAACCTGGAATATATAGCAAGACCCTGTTTCAAAACAAACACTTACTCACATATGAATTCTCCCAGCAAAGAAGCATAATATTCAAGAAGACTTTCCTTTTAGAGGACAAAGAGAAAGGGTAGGGATGGAAATGACTGTCAGGGTAACCCTCTCCCTGTCCCCTAAGTCTGCAAGCATTTGAAGAGGCTCTAGATCTCACTGTCCAGGAGAACCAGAGCTCCTGATAGCCATCTCGGGGAGTGCAGCTTTGAAAGACCCAGTCCTCTAGGCAGGGTCTAGAGGAATCAGTCGTGGGTTATGTTAGGTCCTCTCGAGGTCATGGGAAAGCAAGGTGGCACCCCAATTTGCTACTCTAGAGGTGACATCCAGGCAGTGCACCTCTATTGCTAGAAAGACAGGACCCCCACCTGCGATTACCTCCATCACTCTTTGGTCCCCAGTAACACAGCTGTCTTCTGGCAGTACCCCAATCTTTTTCGACTGGGCTCCGCGTGGCACAAAGATCCTACGACCCTAGCCTCATTTTAGGAGGTTTTATCCAGAAAATCTTTATATAAGAACTCCTTGGAATGGGGTACCCTCATACTTGGTGGAAGTCTTAAATTGGAAGAGCCCAAATTTGGCCCCTCCCCCGCCACGCGTCTAGGCCTCATTTTTAGAGTAGGAGACCCCAATGAGGGGCAGGATTTGTACGAGGGGGTCCCCAATAGCTTGGAACTGGCCTAACTCTGCGCCCATGGATCCCCGCTGGGCCTGGGCCCGGACTGGGGGTGACGTCTGGGGAGAGCGACCCGCGCCCCGTCCGGCCTGGAGGACCTGGGGGCGGGACTCTGGGACCCCTCCCCCCTGTCCGTGCCCCGCCAGGCCGGCGGGGAGGGGAGCAGGAGGGCGGGCCCTGCGGGGAGAGCGGGCTGGCGCGTACGGGGCGCGCAGCCGAGCGGGCGGGAGCCGTCGGGGCCGGGAGTGGCGCGCGCGGGCCGGGGGCGGGGGCATGGCCGGCTGGAGCGGGGCCTCGGGGCGCGCCCCGGCCGCCGTCCCCACCTCCGCCTCCTCCTCCTCCTCCGTCTCCTCCTCCTCCTCCCCTTCCAGTCCCGCCGCCGCGGCAGCCAACATGGCCGCGCCCCGGAGCCCGGGAGGCGGCCGCCGCTGAGCGCGCCCGGCCCCGCCGCCCAGGCCGGGCCCTGGCCCCCGGCGCGTCGCGGTCCCCGGCGCGCTCGGCTGCGGGTCCCGGGGCGCCGGGCGCCGTGCGCGGGGCGGGGCGGAGCGGGCGGCCGCGGCCATGGAGCCCCGGCGCCGGGCGCTGCTCGCCCGGTGTCAGCAGAGCCTGGCGCAGGCCATGACCGAGGTGGAAGCCGTGCTCGGGCTGCTCGAGGCCGCGGGCGCGCTCAGCCCCGGCGAGCGGCGGCGGTTGGACGCGGAGGCCGGGGGCGCCAAGGCGGAGCTGCTGCTGAAGCTGCTGCTGGCCAAGGAGCGCGACCACTTCCAGGACCTGCGCGCAGCGCTGGAGAAGACGCAGCCTCACCTGCTGCCCATTCTCTACCTGGACGGCGTCGCGGGGCCGCCGCAGCCCGCCGAGGGCGCCGGTGAGTGCGTGCGGGACCCCGCCCCGGCACCTCGTCGGGCCGCGCTCCGCCTGGGTGGCCGCGGGTGCCACTTTCTTCCTCGGAGCCCATCCGCGGAGGGGGCGATGTCTGCACCCCGAATTTACCCCTCGGCCCCCAGCCCCGCGTTAACAATGCCCCTCGTGGAAGGCCGTTTCCTTCCAGGTGCCACGGCTGCAGGGTTCTTTGCAGGCCACCAGCTCCAGCCTTGAGGTGGGGTTTGGGGGGCTGCCTCCAGGAGTGTCAGTTACTCTCCTGAGTTTCTCTGTCTACCCCTCCCCAGTCCTTTGGGAGCCTGCGCTTGCCTTTAATCAGCGGTACCGCCTAGAAGAGAACCTGGGTCAGGACCCATACTGGTGCATTTTGGTCCCTGCCATCCGGTTACGGGACTACCGATGTCTGTTGAGTTTCTCACTGTCTCGACCGACCCCCTTCCCTTTGCCCAGGCTCTTAGCTCGCTGGGACTTGTGGTTGATTATGCACAATGCCTGCCCAGGTTTCTTTGGAAACTGTGGGCCCGGAAAAGTTGGGGAAGTTGCATTGCACCATGGGAAAATCCTCGTCGCGGGCTGGGGCTCAGCTCCCTGCCCGAGAGCCCCGAGCTGCCCGAAGAGGGAGACTGGTGGGGGCTGGTTCCGGGGGGTGGGGGGCGTCTTCAGAACCGCTGTGTGCTCGCTGTCCAGGGTCACTGATTTTGTGTGTAGGCGTGTGGGGGCAGGGTGCTGCTGGCAGCGTGTGATGAGTGGCGGTCTTGTCCTGTCTGGATCTGGGAGTGTGGAAGAGAGTACGGCAGTCACCGAGGAAGGAGGAGGAGACCCAGCAGTTTCTGTGCACCGACTGTTGAGGCAGATATTCTGCTTTATCAGGTTTAATGGATGTCACCGCCTTGTGAGCTGGCTGGTACTCCCGCTGTGCCAGAAAGAAAACTTTTGTCTTGCTTGCGGTGGTTAAAATGCTGAGAATTGGGCACCAGGAGTTTTGAATTATGATCTGTTGTTTTGGTTAACTCGTTCAGAACTGGGGAACAGTATTCTATTTTTTTTTTTCTTTTTTTTGTTCCTCCGAGTCTTGTCTTTGTTTCTAAGAGTGAGCAGACATATACAATAAAAATAAATAACGAGACACAGAAGGAAAACAGTCAACTGGGAGGGCTGAAAAACTGCCCTTAGCGATTTGGGCAGAGACCAAGCAGATGGGTTTATGTGGCTGTTAAAGGCCTCACTTATTAAGAGGGTGATATTATAAGGTGTTCTTGGTAACGGCTCTCCTCTCCGTGGGCAACTTCATTCTTTATAGCTGAAGGAAACTGACAGCCAGCCAGATAGCAGGTCTTTCAATGCTGGCTTTCCCTTATGCTGTGACATTCTCCACTCTGTCCCTCAAACCTGGATTCTATGCCCAGGAGAGTTGCTGGGCAAACCCAGTGCTGTCCTGAGATAGTCTTTGGAAGGTGCTAAGCAGGGGCTGTCAGATGTGGCTGTGAGGATAAAGTTGGCTGGGGCTCTCAGCTGCTTTTTTCTTTTTAATTGCTGGTCTCTGTTTTTGAAGAAGGAAGTTTAGCTACTGTCTGTTTGCAGAAGTCTTTCTCCAAGGAAGCCCAGACTTCAAGTCTCTGGAGTGTGTGTGCACCCACAGTGGCTTTCATCTTTGCACTAGGTAAATTAGGGGATGCATTGCCATTCCTTAGGGTCCATCTTTGCCAGGTGAAGGAGATAGGTCTGATGTTCTAGGAGTCAGTATTGACTTCTAAAGAGAACAAATTGGGTTTGAATTTTATACCCAGGCAAAGATTTCAGACCTGTTTTCTCACAAAGTTCTGTGGCTTCCAAGAGGGTCATGAAGTACTTAGAAAAATAATTTTCAAGGGGAAATTATTTTAATTAAATTAATTAATTAATTGAGATAGGGTCTCACTCTGTAGTGCAGGGTGGCCTTGAACTCACAGTGATCCTCCTGTCTCAGCCTCTTGAGCGCTGGAATGACAGGTGTGCACCACCATTCCTGGATCATTTTATTTTAGATGTTAGAAAAGTCAGAATAGGGGCTGGGGATTTAGCTCAGCAGCATAAGCGCCTGCCTTGCAAGCAGGCAGTTGTGAGTTCGATCCCCGGTACCGATAAAAAAGAGAAAGACAAAAATAAAATAAGAAAAGTCAGAATAGCATTTGGTCTGGCTCTTGGGAGTGGGGGGTTATGTGGCATGTGAGTAAGCAGGAGCACCTTGGGGACTTTGTAAAGGACAGATCACTCTGCCTTGGTTTCCCTCCTTGTGGGGCAGAGCTCAGCAAGTGGAGGAGCAGCTGTGGCAGGAGGGATGGTGTCACTGCTTTTAGCTCCAAGGAGCCACATCAGGGGAGCCCCGCATCCTGCCTCCTTCCACTCGCCAGCCATTTCCATGCAGGTGAAAGTCTGCTGCTCACGGAGCGGGGCTCTTGTGGAGCCTGACGGAGTAACCACCTGGCTTTCCTAGGACCCCTTTGCCACTGTCTAAGGGGGTGGCAGTATTTCTCACTTCGGAGCTTCCTTGATAGATTCCGCAGCTCTGGTGTGAATGCCCTTCCCTGGTGGGCACTAGTGTCGTGGGAGTCTGTGGTGCTCGTGCTCAGCTCCCAGGGCTGGGGTGCCAAGGAGACTTGGAAGGCAGCTGAGTAGGAGGCAGAGCTCCCATTCTTAGTTTGATAGCACACTGCCGCTTGGCATTCGGCAGCTTCCTGTCCTACTCACTGATTCCGTGGTGGCCTGTTATCCTCATGACACTTTCCCCATCACCTATGAGGGAGAAGTCCCAGGGCAGAGAGGTGCCTGCTGGAGGCCAGGCTGGCCCCTTGCTCCTGAGGTCTCACCTGGGGTTGGTTTTCCTCCCCCCTGATCAGGCTTTCCTGCTACGGTTTCAGGCTGCTTCCTGTCATCGCGGAACCCTGGAATCATAGCTGGTTTTTTTTTTTTTTTTTAATCTCTGATACAGGGATCTTTAGGGAGGAAGTGAACACCCAGCTGACAGGTGCTGGCAGGAACACAGTGCTCAGCTCTTGGTGTGGCTCAGGTCTGTGTTCTGTCTAGTTGTCACAGGGTCTACTTTGGCCCCTCCTTTGTGTTTTTATTTTTGTTTTTATCTTTGATGCAGTTTCAAAATCAAGGTTTCTCCAAGTGTAAATAAAATGCAAAATAAAAAGTTAAATAGGCAGCAGGGAGATTGCTCTTCTGGAAATGGGAAGGGGACCAAGTGGGGGCGGGAGTAGAGGGGAAGTCAAAAGGTTTTTTGTGTCATGCACCTGTACTGACTCTTCATAAGGGATGTAATCATTGTGTGGTGCCAAGATAGTAATAAAATTAAACATTAAAACAAATCAGGCTTTCTCTCTTGAAGTTCCTTGACTCCTGACTGTGGGGTGACCTTAGTGTCTCCATCTGTGAGATGGGGCTGAAGGAGCCCAGCGACTTGCCTCAGCTTGGAGGACAGGATGTATCCAGGAGGACAGAAGCGCTGGTCCTGTGTGCACGACTGGGTGCATAGATGTAATTCCAGCCTGCAGCTTGTCGCCTTGTTGGGGGAATGGGACACCAGGGAGAGTGGCATCCTGAGGAGGATATGTCGGACAGTGCAGGCTGGCTCGCTCTCGCCTGCCTGGCATCAGCCCTGGGTGGCAGGGTGGGTGGTACAGAGGGAACCTGAAGGGCCGAGGTGTCACCCGAGGGAGGGATTTGTGTGTTGCTTGGGATCATAGAGGTGAAACCTGGAGGACTTTTTTAAAAAAAGAGTCAGCCTGCTAGGATTTCTAGCAGCAGGACACTCATACTGGATTTTTTTTTTTTTTTTTTTTGTACCGGGGCTTGAACTCACGACTTTGCATTTGCCAAGCAGGCACTTATGCTGCTGAGCTAAATACCGGGCAGTACAATCATGCTGGCTGTGGATTGGCAGGCATGGTTTATTAAAAATTCAGTAGAAGTGACCAGTGCCTTTTATGTGATGCTGTCCCTTTGGGTACTGGCCACTTTTTCTCCACCCATGCTGCCCAGAGGGTCAGCAGGGGAAGGGGCAGAAGGAAAGGCTCCAAGCACCAGGTTTTTCAGCTCCGATTATTAGAAGGGGGCCGAAAAGGGACTTGAGAGTGATGGTTGAGAAGAGGATTCTAAGTGCAAGGCAGCTTTTATTTCTTTCTGTGTGTATTAGTCTAGGCCACCTTTGTTGCAGGTGACAGTAGCATAGCTCAAACCATCTAGCCAGAAAAGAGAATTTCTTTTTTTTTTTTTTTTTTTTTTGTCTTTTTTGAGACAGGGTCTCTATGTGGTTCGGGCAGGCCTTGAGCTCACTTTGTAGCCCAGGCTGGTCTCAAACTCACAACGATTCTCCTGCCTCAGCCTCCCAACTGTTGGAATTACCACGCCTGGCAGAAAAGAAAATTTCAAAAACTAAAACTCAAAGAAAAGAGAAAAACGTATTGATTTATCAGAGACGTGTGCCTTGTAGTGATGTGTGAGCAGTGGACCACATATATGGTAATGATTATCGATTTTATTTATTTATTTAATTTTTATTTTGTTTTGTTTGTTTGAGACATCTTTCTGTGTACTTTGACCTGGCCTTCAATTGAACTGTAGAGTCCAAGCTGGCCTCAAATGTAAGGTAATCCTTCTGCCTCAGCCTCCTGAGTGCTGGGATTACAGGCGTGTGCCACCATGCCTAGTGTGTTTCTAAGTGACAAATGATTACGCCTAAAGCCTTGAGATAGCTGGGACACAGTTGATGCCCTGAATATTTGGCACTCTCCCTGTGGGCCTGGAATGTGGCCTCCGGCCCTTCTGGGCTTCATCTTCACAGCTCTTGGCCAGAGAAGAAAGGAAACTGTGTCCAATCAGACCATGCAGAAGAAGCTCCTGGAAGGATTCTTTTTGTTTTTTTTTCTGATACTGGAAATTGAACTCAGTACCTCACACTTGCCAGGCAGGCCCTCCTAAAAAGATTCTGGTTTGCACTGTGTA